ATTAATATATAATGAAATTTTTGTTTGGTATCAAAGAAGAGAGATGCTATACAATATCAAAAGTGGATGGCGTGATTTTGTATATATTTACTAATTTAGGAATAGATTATACCCACCATCACCCTTTCTCATGATAGCAACTTAGTATCAATCAAGAATTATTAGATCAGGCCACCACCTTGAAATAAAGGCCTAATGGAGCTGGTCCTTTCTAAATGTACTGTTCTTCAAGTCTTAATCCAAGCAGGACCGCTTGACTATTTTGGTGGCATGTCTATAGCCCTGTTGATTGTTGCTGATGCTTCATAATTTTAGCTTTTGATAAAGTTATAACTACAAGTAAAAATTATAATTAAAATAAAATATATTAATTTCATGGGAGAAATCAATAAACTAAATGAAATTACATATATATCAATGAAAGAATTGATATATAATTGAATAAATCCAATATAAAATCTCACAAAATTAACATATGATTAAATTTGAATGTGAAATTTCAATATTTTATAACCTCTTATTTATCATTAAAACAAAGTTTCATTACTGAAAAACTGTTGCATAAGATTTCGAATCTACATCGAGGAATTATAATAATTAATTATAATATATATATGTGTGTAAAAATTTATAATTATACTTGTGAATATTTTTGTAAGTAAAATTATGAATCTTTCAAATTAAAATAAATAATAACTCACATGTTTGTTGTAGATATTCATAATATATACTAATATATATATATATATATGTATTTTAAAATTAACTTAAAGTGTCTATCTTATTAAATTAAACTTTTTTCATCTTTTAAAATTATTAATTGAATTGAATTAAGTTAATTTGTAATTGATTTTCACACGTAAGATTAATAAATTTATATGGTTGTTTTTTCTTTTTGGAATGACTCCATTTTTTTTTTAAATCAGAAAGAGATTGACCAAATTAAACGAGAAAAAGATGATGAGGAGCGAAAGTGATGAAAGTGGAAGTCGGGGGTCCTCTCATCAAAGGCACCCGCGATCCTTGCTGTATATTTTTGTCTTTCCATAGTTTATCTTCTACGTAAAGAACGATGTCCATCCACCAACTGGTCTCCGCCACGTGGACTCCACTGTTTTCCTCACCGTACGTATTCTATTCATCTCCATTATACCTGTCGAAAAATCATTTGTAGGTCGTAATTCCTACTTGAAATGCCTGAAAATCCCTAAAAGTGATGCCTTATTTCGGAGTGGCCCGTTCTTCGGTTCTCACTGTTTGTGTTGTTAGTTTTGGAAATAAAAGGGGGGTTTGGTAAATTACTATATCCGACAGCGGCGAGACAAAGAGTGACAGCGTGGACGGACTGTCCTTTGGCGGCAGCACGTTGCCAACGTGGCCGATGTGTCAGAAAGTTTGAGAAAGAGAATTATTGGACTAGAAATTTTACGATATGTTAGGGATGAGAAAGTTGGGTAACTTTATACAAAAAGCACCATTTTAATAGTAAGTTAACGTAAAATTAGTCACGTTCAAAGAGTTTAAGATGTTAATTATTATTTATTTATAATATATAAAATAAAATAATTATAATGATATGACTCTTATTTTCTCTCAAGTGGTTCATACAAAATACAAAATAAAATAATTATAATGATATAACTCTCACCTTTTTTCAAGTGGTTTATATTCATTATCCAAAAAAAAAAAAAACAATAATGTATATGTATTAAGACTATTATATGCAAGAAGTAAAATAATTTATTTAAAATATAGAGTTTAGATTAAATTATTCATTCATTTTATTAAAATTAAAATTAAAATTTTAACATTTATAAATTTCATTTCTTTAACTTTTTTAGACTTTTAACTCCTTGAAACAAAAAATTTTATTCACTTATTGATAATATAATCCTTAGTTACAGATAAGAAGAATGTCCATGGACCAAACTATGACAAACCCATTATAAATAATTTATTACTCAATTTATAAGTATATAACAATAAAATCTATTATAAGACTTCTAATAATAATTATAATTAAACTGTTCATAAAAGTTAAATAGTTCAAACTATAGATTAAGATTATAAATTTGTTTTAAATTTTTTATTAGTATTAATATATAAATTGGATTGAAACTTAGTTAATATTGAGTGAATTTATTAATTGATTATAATATTATTTTTATAAATATTAAATTAAAAAAATTTTAAAAGACAAATTATATTATATAAATATAAGATCTATTTTATCTACTTCCATCAATTAAATTTTTTTTATATTTGTATTTTAGATTATATATAACTAGCTTGCTACTCGTGTGATGTACGGATTATTTTTCTTTTATTTAAATTTAAAAAATATATAAATTAATATTATTGAATTATTTACATGTTCAAAATATATGTAAAATATAAATAATATAATTAAAATATCAAATTCTAATAAAAATAAAAATTTTAATTAAAAAATTAACAAACTTTAAAATATATGATAAATAATATTAGAAAAAGAAAAAACATCTAGAAGATATTGTAAATAATATTATTAAGTATACCAACAGAATATTAAAATAGAAACTAAAAGTCTTATCACTTCAAATAAACTTTATTCAATTTGCATCATTTTTAACTTCTTTTATAATTTTTATACATTTGTAGATTTATATAATTTTAACATAAGTTTTATTTATTTAAGAGAAATAATGATTTTAAATGTTTAAATAATATACATGATAATTTACTCACATGTACATTTATCTTTAAAAGTTTTAATAATATCATAATCTTTAGCATCTATATGACTTTTCAAATATTTGTACCTTTCAATTATTTTGAGGTTGATATCTGATACAAAATTATATTCTTATAAAAATTGAAATGAAAACAGTTTTAAATTTTAAGTAAGTAATAATATTAAATTATAAACAATTATTTAAGAAAATTATTGACAGAAGATTTTAATGAAATGTATTAAATACTTACTTTTTGTATTTTTTCAAGTAAATAACAACTCTCCTCTCAATAAAATATCTAATAAACATTTGTAACAATCAATCTTGAACTTTCATAAAAAAAGTTGTGATCATTGAGTTCTATTTCAAAAATATATGAATGGTGTATTAACTATTCCAATATTTTTTTTCACTTTGGCATTTCCATCTTCTGCATAAATAAATGAAACAAATTTATTGAGTTTATTTTCTTATTTGTTTTTAAATCATAATAAAAAAGATATTAGCTTAAATAGGTTCTAATTAAATTTATTATAAATTGAGAAATAGAAAAAAATGTTACAGCTAATTTGAAAAAAAAAATTCTTATATTATAGAGTGAATAGTATATTTAGTGAAATAGTACCTATCATAAGAAAATATATATTAATTCCTATAGCAAAAATAGACTAATAAAAAGAGAGATTAAATTAATAGTAAACAAATTATGTTTAGCTTATATATTTCATGGGATATTGGAAAAACTATATAACTAAGAACTACCAAGGCTTTCATGAAGTTGTTCTACTATTTATATATATTTTTTTAGATTTTTAAAAATATTAATATTAAAAGTTCATGATAAATATTGATTTAAATTTTATTTTAATTTAGACATATCTAAATCTATTTTTTAAAATTGATAGATTGTTTATTAAAATTATCTTTATCTATAACTAATATATTTAAAAGACGGAGATAATGCAAAAATTATTTATCAAAAATATTAAAGATATTAAATAATATTTTTAAAAGTTATGATAAATTTAAATAATTATATTTAATACAGATAAATTATAAAAAATAAATTACTTTTAAATTAATTTTAAATTGAGATGAAATAATATACAAAAAAAAATTATTAAAATTTAAATTAATTTTTAATTAAATTTTAAAAATTATTTATGTAAGCGTTCATGTTAATAAATACTATTTAATAGCTATGTATGTTATAATATATATATATGATTAGTAATAAGAAATAAATATCAATAACAGAGATGTGGAATATTGACTTGTCGCGAACGCGTTGAGAAATGTAAAGAAAAACAGAGAAAGGTAAGAAGAGAAAGAGAAGAGCGACGAATGAAAAAGGGATTAATTTGTGTAGGAAGCTAGGTATTGACGTAAGCAACTGGGGACAGCCATCAACCATGCGCAATCGAGCGGTCCTCCCCTCCTCCGTCCTCCCCTTTTATATTCCCTTCATCCCTCTCTTTCTCTTTTGTCTCTCTAGTCTTTGTTTCTGTCCCTTTTCACTTCTTATACTCCTCCTTTGTCTTCTTCTTCTTCATTTCTTCTGTCTCAAAACGAATAGTTAACTCCACCATTAGCTTGTTCCAGGTAAGCTTTTGCATTTGCATGGAAAATCCTCTCTTTCTTTTCAATAATATTCTTATAATTTATTCTCAATATTGTTTAGTACTGTGTCATGTCGTCACCTCCTTTGTAGAATTTTTTGCATCAGTTATTTTTATATCCCTCTTTCCTGGAAAGCAGCACATCGCTTGCCTAGATTACAACATTGGATGTCATTATTCACACTTCCATTTTTGTCTGTTTTCGCATAATTTTGTTTGGTCAAAGAAGCCACACATTATTACATAAAAGACTAAAAATTTGGTAAAATATAGTTAAAACGTTTATTTCTTTGTCATTTACAAATTCTAACACTAACCCACCAACCAGTTACATATAATTTCTGCGGAACTTTCCATTGGAGATATGTAGTTGTTTCTTTTTCCTACTTGAGTTTGAGAGAAAACCCATAGTTGAAAATGATCTCTTTTTCATTGTAGCAGCAAGCAACTTGTTGACAAAAAAATCTTACCCGATTCTTGACCGATTTCCCCTGTGAAAACATGAATGCCTACCTTATCAACCTTACCAATATCTGAATAAGTTTAGAGGTCATTTTTGTATTTGATTTAACGTTTGGAAACTATAGCTATTTGAGAATTGGAGCCAAACACTGTAAACGTTTTCTTTTTTCTTTTTCTCTTTTTTTTCATTTTGGTCAGCTACCATTCTTTTTTCTTTCATATCAGTCTAGAAAAGAAGATCAGACGTGCTATGGAAATTCTAGACAAACTGACAAAGTGGACAGAGTCCGTTTCATTTGCAATGAGACACAGCTTCCGCAAGTGCCTCATCAATACTGCTTTTAATCTTTCTTTTTATCTTTATAGTTTTTATCTCTTACTCTTTTGTCAGGCCTTGATCCAATAGAAACTGTGTCTCTCTTTCAAACAAACGCGTGCTTAATTGTGATAACGTCATCCACCTTGTCCACTCCTTCAACTTTCTAATCTGTTATAGAACAACTCAAAATCTCAAACTCAAATGTGTTTATGGTAACATTTCTTTGATTAATTATTTATATATTTTTTTAAAAACTAATTTTTGTTTGTTTCAACCCTTTTAGTAAAACTTTCTCTTGATGATTTTTATATTACAGAACACCCCCTTTTTTTAAGAAAAAAAAAAGGATAATTTAGTAATGGAAACCCCGTTCTTGATGCATCATTTCCACCATTCACCAACACAAGACAACATCATTAGCTCAAACCTCTAGTTGTCCGTTTTCCTTGAGAGAGCTGCACCACAAAGAGAGAGAATATATGTTCCATCTTCTCTCTTGGTTTGAATCAAAAACAAACTCTCATGATTCAGTTTTTCCCTTTTCACCTCTTATTAAAAATCATTAATGTCTATGAAATAATGGGTTTTGTTTTATAACACGCACTAATTTAATTTACTTTCATCAGAAAGATAGTAAACATGGAGGGTGAGTGTTGCTCGCTACCAAATGAGCTAGCTTGATGATTATTATGATAACACTTGTTACCTTTTCAATTGGAGAGAATTCATTATTTTCTTTAACTCTTTCTTTTTTTTTTTGGTTGTCCTCTGGTAATTTATGGTTTCTCTCTTCTCTTTTTAAGTTCATTTATTCGTTATGGTTTAGAGATGATGAAGCTATACAAGAGTTGTATAGTGCTAATATTGTGAGTGTGATGAATTTGATGCAGCAACAACAGTTATGACGGAGTCCATGGAGTCATGTGTCCCACCTGGATTCCGGTTCCACCCGACGGACGAAGAGCTTGTTGGGTATTATCTAAGGAAGAAAGTTGCATCGCAGAAAATTGATCTTGATGTTATCAGAGACATTGATCTCTACAGGATCGAACCATGGGATCTTCAAGGTGAACATCCTTGTTTTTTCCTTTTGGTTTGATCTTTTAAGGTTTCTGTTTTGCTGTTCAATTCTGAAGTCTGGGTTAATAAGATCCACAGTTAGGGTTTAACATTTGCATGAGAACTTAATAACCCTAGAAATGGATGTTAACCTGAATATATATATGTATATATATCTTTTATTCTTTTAATAGTACAAATATATATAAGATCTGAATATTATGGTGTGGGCAGAGAGATGCCGTATCGGATATGAGGAGCAAAACGAGTGGTATTTCTTCAGCCACAAGGATAAGAAGTATCCAACGGGGACAAGAACTAACAGAGCAACCATGGCTGGTTTTTGGAAAGCAACAGGGCGAGACAAGGCAGTTTATGATAAATCAAAGCTGATTGGCATGAGGAAGACTCTTGTTTTCTACAAAGGAAGAGCTCCAAATGGACAGAAAACTGACTGGATCATGCATGAATACAGGCTTGAATCCGACGAGAATGGACCTCCACAGGCAAGCACATATATGAATTAATTTTTCTCTGATCATCACTTTCTATCCCTCTATTTGTCAACAGAGTCGTTATTAAAGTGAAAAAGTGTATATATATTGTCTTCATGGTCGTCCAACATTATGAGTAGCTTTGAAACAGGCTCTTTCTTGACCTACTATTTGGAACTTTCTTTGTCAAGTATTTCTGGCCAGAGAAAAGATTAGGAATCCATTACTATCAAGTCATGAAATAGAAGTTCAGACTCTTTTCCTCTCTCTCTCTCTCTCTCTTAGAACAGGATGATTAGTGCCTGCCTTGTAAATTCTTCACATGTTAAACCTAACTTTCAGTGACGACAAAATAGATGAATTTGCACCACTATACAATTTATGTGAGGAACGGAATCACTTTTTTGCTTTCCATACAAAAACATTTCTACTGAAATGTCAACATATAATATGATTTGTAGAAAGATGCGTGACTTCCACCAACTCTAAGTCAAAAAAGTGATTCGTGCTTATAAGTTTTCATGGCAAAATATAATATTCTTTCTTTCGATTCCTTTTCTGGCATGGGCTTTTTATCTCTTCCCTATTCATCAGTATGTCAAAAGCAAAAATCAATTTCTTCGCTATAGTTTTCATATGTCATCACCTACTGGTTATAATATCTACTTCTCTTTACCAAACAGAAAGAAACGCTTGCAAAAGCCAAAAGAACACATATTCAAATTGAAAAGGGAAAACTTTAATATCCTTTGGCAAGAAAATTATCTGAAATGAATTCAAGCAAATATATACAAAACTTTGTCCATTATGTCATAATGGTATGTGTTTTTTGGTTGTTAGAGATTGAACCATTGTCATTGAAAATTAAAAGTCTAGCACTCTATCCACAAATCAAAACGGCTCTTGGTTAATGGTAGTTTTTTTATGTTTTTGCAGGAGGAAGGATGGGTTGTGTGTCGAGCCTTTAAGAAGAGAACTACTGGTCAAACCAAGAGCATTGAAGGGTGGGACTCAAGCTACTTCAATGATGAAGCAAGTGGTATTAGTTCCGCGGTTGATCCAATCGATTACATCTCGAGGCAACCCCATAATTTTTTACCTCCAAATTTCTTGTGTAAACAAGAGATAGAGGCAGATAATTTAAACTTTGTCCACTCTGATAATTTTGTACAGCTTCCTCAGCTAGAGAGCCCATCTCTGCCATTGATAAAGAGGCCAAGCTCGATATCTCTAATATCAGAGAGTAATACTAATTATGAAGAAGATCAGAACAGAATGAGCAACAACACCCAGAAAGTTACTGATTGGAGAGCCCTTGACAAGTTCGTTGCTTCTCAGCTGAGTCAAGAAGACAGATATGGTGGTGATCAAGGAGGAGTTTCAAGCTTTGATGCCAGTAATAGTAGTGACACAGACATGGCGTTGCTGCTATTACAGAGTAGCGGTAGAGAAGAAGGGAACAAGTTGAACGAGTTCTTGAATTCAAGTTCAGATTGTGATATTGGAATATGCATATTTGATAAATGAAGGATAATATAAGGAGTTCATGAAGATGCTTGTATCGCTTAGTATTATAAACGTTTGATGCATAATGAGACATATTTTTGTAAAAAAAATGGTTGTGATGAGTGACGAAATTCTCTCTATCTCTCTTTTGGAATGCATGCGAAGCATTCAAATTAGCTATAATTACTAATATTCATATAGCTAATTATAAAGCCTTTACAACTACCCATTGTTTCACGTCTTATTTAATTCGAGGTTTTATTTTATTTAATTTATTTTCTGAGTCTTGAAAGGCTTTTTTTTTATCCATTAGTCAAATTTAATTGGGTTTTAAAATTAATTCACTTAGGTTTTTGTTACTTGGGTTAGGACTAGTTGATTTTGGGCTTAAATTTATTGTTAGGTCTGATTCTGGATGTTAACCCAAACCAATACCCATTCCTAATTTATTTTTTTATTTTATTTCTCACTTTTATTAGTTTTTATTTTATTTATTTAAAAAAATCCGAAATTGCAAATGGGGAGAGTCAAGTTTAGAAAAGGATCCAAATCCTTAAAATTGTTTTGGAATTAAAAGTTTTGTGATCCAAATTACATTTTTGGTTGGGATTAAAACATTAATCAAATTAAAAATGTGTTTGACCTGATTTTTTTTGTAAGGATCCAAATAGGATTTAAACCCTATTAAGACCTTGTGAAAATAAACTAGAAAAACCCTATTTTGATTTAAAGTTCGACTTGAACTGGAATTGATTCACTATTTAAGCAGCGGTAACCAACCACACAAAACATCAACAATTGATAGGCAGAAAAAAAAATACTGGCAATATCGTTTCTGAGAGAGTGGTGGTGAATTTTTTAGTTAGTTTTAGATCCAGGCTAGATTATAGATTTAGGAGATTCGGGGAAAAGAAAGAATCAAGAATCTGTAGAAATAGGAAGAGGAAGATCTCGGTTTATTTCTAGACAGTCTGCTCGGGATTAGTTAGATTTAAATTTTGAGTTTGATCTTGGGAAAATTAGTTTGGTTAGAGAATTCGGACCGTTCAAAGGCATTCGAAAAGGATTTGAAGGAATCTAGTGACTTTCTAGGCATTTTTTTTTTTTGGGAAATTTTAGGAAAGTGTTTGGAGTTTTCGTTAAAATTTTTGGCGTGTTCTTAAAGTTTCCGGTAGGTATTTGAATTTTTCAACATCGAAAAACCAGGTTTTGCAACCGGGTTCTGGGTTGGGGTTCTTGGTTTCAGGTTTCAGGGTTCTATAGAGAGAGAATTTGAAGCAAAAAGAGAGAAACATGAAATCTAGAGTGAAGAGAATTTGACAAAAACATGGTTTTTACAAAGTTTGAAACGACACCATTTCACTTGAGGTTCTCACCTGAGGTAGATCCACGTTCTGATCCAGCTTACCCACCCAATCGACAGGTTTTGTTTTTCTTTTTCTGTTTTGTTTTATTTTTATTTAGTTTATTTGATTTATTATTTATTTATTTAACTTTTTTAAAATTGTTTTTGTTATTTGTTTATTTATTTGATTTATTTGTAGTTCTATCTTGTTTTGTTTGTTTTATTTATTTGTTGTGATATTTATTTAAAGAAAATAAATTTGTAAATAAGGTCATGTGATTATTTCATAATGTAAATTTTAATTGTAAGTAAAAATTTTTTCAATGATGAAATTGAGAGGACAACGCAAAGTTGATTATCTTTGAGAATTCTTAAATGAAGATGTATTTTATTAGAAAATTAATTTTATCAAGCAAGAGGATTTTTGAGAAAATTTTCAATAAAATGAATTTTTATTTACTGTTTTTAAAATAAAATTTTTAAGTCATAAATTTTAATGTAAGTAAAAAATTTTTCAATAATGAAATTAAAAGGGGAATATGAAGATGATCACTTTTAAATGCTAGGAGAATTTTTTGAGAATTTTCCAATAAAAGAAATTTTTATTTACGTAAAATAAACTTAAATTATTCAATGATAAAAGAGTAATGATAAAAAAATTAAGACTATTTAATTAAAACTAATAATATAATAATTAATCATATATAAAAAAATCTTATGATGTTACGACTGTGTTTTATGGTCAGATTCTTAGCGTTTCAATTATAAAATGATATTACAGCACGATAAGAGTCCCTTTCATGATGCTGACAAATGAATTTTTATAAGTTCCTATTTCATAATTATGATTTAATCTCCTAAAACTTCAAATACTTTTAAAAAAAATCTTTAATCCCATATTTTCAATATTTTATAGGAAAAATTTGGATCATATGAGAACAAATGATCAACAGCTGATATTATATAAATACTTAGTATGCAATTCAGTGAAAGAATATGATTTTCTTGATTAGCGAGAGTGAAGCTGCAGGAACATTTAAGCGAAAATTTTTTTGTTAATATGCAGCAAGCTAAGCACACGGAAAGTGTCAAGCGATCTCTCCTAAATAACTCAAAACCTTCATTTAATAGGATTTGTCAGAGCCAACCAGATGACTTTCGTCGTCCTCGGGACAGAGGTCGGTCGGTGTGACTACAGACAGGTAAGGTCTGATCTAAACTCTGAACTAACCTAGAAGAAAACTAGCTAACATGCTACCATGATTCTTCCTGCCTTAATATATATATATATATATATATATATATTTATATACTGCCCAAATATATCGGTTGAAAGGATCATGAAAAAAAGGAGAAAACTCACTGGCGAATGTGATTCTCAAATAGCTTCTCTTTTGTCTAAAGCGGCTATTCAAATCTTCTCAGTTAATATGGCATAAATTGAACCCTTCAAATGTTGGTATGACTTACTGCAAGAAATTTACTCATAGACACAGTAACTGCAAACATTGCACCATTGATGGTGTGCCTGCATTTTCAAAGAGCCTAGAAAAAGTTTCACGATCCCTAAATAATAGGCCAACCATGTCTCGCCTGCCAATGTTCATGCAACATTGTCATACAGTTTATTTCGCAACGAAACATGACGAAAGGAAATTTTCATGAGAAAGTAATAACACCAAAAATATTATGAACAAAAAATTGATTGATTTGAATTGACCATAAATTAGTCAGCATGGTCGCATATGGATGTGGGCTTGGTGGGTCCATGGCTTGTCTAGCATGCGCTGGGCACTGTGGCTCCTGTTGGGCATGCCCTGCAATTGTCTTTATGGACAATTCTTTTTGACCCTGTTCATGGCTAGCCTTCCCATCCCATCAATGAACCTCAACTACGTTGATTTTCTTTAATTAATTATTAGATAATAATTTTTTCATCATAATTAAGAGATAATTAATTTTCTTTTTTTCTCTAACAATTGCACAAAGTCCTGATTTGCTTTTCGAAATGTGAGTTTGTGCCCAAATGATTCTCTGATTTGACAAAGAGACGTTTTTCCGAGATAGCCTTTGCAGGTGAGCTAAACAGTCCAGATTTTGAATTCTTATGATTCAGGGCCCTGATCAATCTTGACTGTAATTGTCACATAGCATGTTTCTGTACATTTTTGCAAGTTTTGTATCAAACTATATATGCAATAAAAAAATAAAAAAAAAAGCTTCTCCAATCACCATAAACCCTTGAACTCAGAAAAGAGAAAACAAAAGAATTTCATCAGAAATAAACCAGCTTCTACTTGATATGCCAAACTTTGAGAAATAGACATTTCAATAAAAGATGATATATCACCTTTTCCATCAACAGCAACATTCCCTATAACAAAGTATTTTTATTTCCTTTTCAACAGGAATGATTAAGCACTTTAGTCATCAAATGATTATAATAACAATTTTACATGTATGGGAAGTAGTGTTTGATAATTATCACACCAAATTAATCACCTTGAATCTCCAAAAACAATCAACAGTAGTCTTGCTAGGATAAGGAATTTTGAAGTCTCTGGAGTCTTCAATTCTGAGTACTTGCATCATACTTGAGAGACATGAATTCTACTTGAAATCTTGCTACTTGAGTCAAAAAAATCAATTAATCAAATCTAAGATGACAAATATATATAAATTGCGTCTAAGCATTTCACTCATTTGTTGATGCACGATCATTCTATTTAAAGAGTCGGGTCTGAATTTCTTCTTTTCAAATAAACTATTCTAATTTAATTTCACATGAAATTAAAATCAAGCAACCTAACTTAAGACCTGACTTTGGTTAGAAGTTTTGCTGCCAAAGTTTATTAATAATCCTTTCAATTAATATTCCATCATATAGATAAAGGTTTTACCAATTCCATGGTTTTTAGGTGCATCTTAGTTAAATTGGATTCTTTTTTCCAGAGGCATTTGAAGTCATCGCAACAAAAACAAATTAGATGGAAAGATTCTCACGCTATGGCTAATTGTCTTTCCTTTCTTTTCTTTTCTTTTTGTTGGAAAGACAAGTCAAAAACGAATCCACGTTATGCATATGAAGGGGGCTTAATTGGACCCCAACTCAGAGGAAACGTCTCAGTCAGTTATCCAAGAAGGCCTCGACCAATCACGTTCCCCCAAATGAGTGCAATAAAACAATGATGAACAATCCAAAAGAATATTTTTTTTCTTCTTGTGATTGTTACAGTTGATTATAAGCATAAATTTTCTTCTGTTTTGTTTTCTCTAGAAAAAAACATTGTTACACATGCTTTCTCGAGCTTGGTTCGAGTATATATCTAAGCTTATGGGCCAGACAAGAATTTCCAAGTGCTCCCAAGCTTTTTTTCAGTGTGAGAAGGATGATGAACATGCATAGCAATTAGTGTAACGGTTGACGAAAACAAAGCATCCTTTTGGAGAATAATGATGCTCAATCATGGTACGCAACAAAGCAAACCAGACCCATGTTTAATGAGCTTTTTCATGCGAAAGATAAGGTTGAAAACCTAGAAAAAGAGAATAAAAAAAACCCCTCCTCCGTCCGCCGGTACCCTTCGAGGATTGTTATCACAATAAATATGCAACCTCTCTCTTTCTCTCTCCTGATTAAGAAGTGAAGACCTTGTCCAGCAAGAAAATAATCATATGGGAAAGTATATTTGAACCTATAGCTGCTATGTTGACAAAACTCAATTGAGTTTTAACCAATCACAACACGGAATGTCAATGTGAGAAAGGGGAA